TTAGAATCAAAATCGTATCTTGCTCAGTTCTCTAAAGATCATAGCTCCATTTTCTATAGAAGAACAACAACACACACAAAAACAAAAAAGTAATTTTTTTTTTACCAAAGGCTCTTCTTTTTTCGCCTTTTAATACCTTTTTTTTTTTTGACAATTTATAGTTGTTTTTATTATTGAAGAAAATTTAAACACCAAGGTTGCATTGCATCTTTGGAATCGATAAAACCCATATTTGTTAGTGATTGATAATTTGGTCTCATGCTTGAAACAACAAAATTCTAGTTTGTAATCTGTCATTTTTTTTTAGTAACTCAATTGTATACTCTCTTGTGCCCCGAGTTCAACTCTTTTTGATATGAATAGTTATTCTTTAAATTGGAATATATCTAAAGACGGACTTCGGAGATAACACAAATTCACCTATACCCGCTTTGACCATTTATTCCATACTTTCAATTCTTTAAACCGTTTCTCGATTGGATCTTTGGAATCAGCAAAGAAAACCCATATTTGTTAGTGATTAATACTTTGATCTAGTTTGTGATCTGACATTTTTATATCTATAATAAACTCAATTGTATGTCCATAGTATAATCGATTATTAAAAGCATTAGTAAAAGTGTAAAACCAAGTACCAACATTTTGAAATCTTGAAATAGTGTTGAACAAGTATAAGAATCCAATAAAAACACTTACATAAGTTTCACATCTTCCACATAGTTTGGAGAAATGTAAACTTTAGGCCATTCAAAACCATTAAATTCTGGAACTTCAACTCTTACTCTTACAACAATGTTCTCCTCGAGATTGTAGTAAATAATGTAGAAAGGAACTCCTTTTGTATATCTTGAGCATAAAACAATTTCACCTCTACCAGTCACTCCAACAACGTCCACTGACTATAACTCTAGCTGCCATTGAAGAGGCTTTTGGTAGACATGCTTTGACCATTTTTCTTCCTCAGGATCTTCTAAAACCCACAACACGAAATCCATGTTGTTACGATTATCAACCGCACCTAATTTACCTTTATAGTTGAACGTCTCCCGGAAATAAAATACAATCTCTCAGACTTAACATCAAAACAACCGATCATTCGTCCTGCTCTATAATACAAAACACCATTGATGCATATCCCATCATCACTTAGAACATATAAAGATTCGTAAGAACATTGAATTTTTCTCCATAAGAGATTGTTGCTTCCATTCTCTAATGTGAGAACTTGATACTCAATATTCTTGTATCTTCCACAAGAAACCCATGAATATCATACACACAAAACCTTGAATTGTTTTTCGATTGGATCATACTCTAAATAGCTTCTTGCCCCTACCACTTTAGTTTTTATTTTGGGTAAGGTTACAAACTCTCCTGTGATTGGATTAGAAATCACAACCACTATATAATTCTTTCCAGTACGTTGATGACAAACCAATCCATGAACAGGTCGACAGATTCGATAGAAATCTGTGAAGGATGACGTACGAGTGGCTACAAGAGATGAATTATCATCTGGGTTTTGAGGTTGAGGTGAAGTGTAGAAGAAAAACTTTCTTTCACCTATAAAGGTGAAAAGAAACCTAGGTGGTTCCGGAGGTTTGGTCGGAAACAACTGTTTGAAATTCGGTCGGCGAAATATAGACGACCAAAGCTTAGATACGCAACCGACAATTTCCCAAAGATTTACCTGACAATCTTGAGAAGATGTTATTGATGAGGAGATCAATAGGGATCGGATCAAAGTACTCTCTTTCTCCAGAGCTTGAAGATACGATTAGGTTTTCCTCTGTGACTTGATGCTTACGTTTCCTCATCGCTGCGGATTAAACCCTAGATTAATTTTGGCTCTGCTCGATGAACCGCAGCTACTCTTTCACGATTTATGCTTCAAACACACTCAATAAGTTTTGGGCTTTGTTACGGCGAGAACAAGTTGGCTTTTTGTTAGAATTTATTAACTTTGGGATAATTGTTATTTTTAAATATATATATATTTTTAAAAATTAAAGAAAAAATAGGTTAATTTTTCGTCATGCTTCTTCACATATATTTATTTAGATAATTTTATGACTCAGTTTAACACATTTACCATATGAGCTTATAATCAGTACGTGTATAGGGCTCAAATAATTAAACTCATTGGTTAAATGGTACGGTTAGAGAGTTTCTAAGTTGACTTATTAAAAGAGTTGAAGTTGGTCTTCTTAGATCCTATTTTGTAATTGTAGAAGTTTATTTTTTTTTCTTTGATTTTTCTTGAGTAGTGTTTCTCCAATCAATCAGACCAAAACAAAAAATGCAACAAGATCGATGAGAGTATAGGAGGGAATCGATGCACTCAACATACTTGTTTCAATAACTTATTAGTGATTAAAAAATCTGGTCTCAAGCTTGAATACCAGTTTGTAATATGACATTTGTATTATTTACTCCATTGTATTTTAAGAGTTTCAGGTTAGTAAAAATTCCACTGACTTGTGTTCCAACTTTTTGAAATAATCTCGAACTAGTAGTATAAATTAAAACCCTAATTAAGATCTGTATAAAAAAATCAATAAAACACTTACATTCTCAACAAAGTTTGGAAAAGAGTAAAATCTAAGCTTTCTAGAACCTTTACCTGGAACTTCAACTCTTACTTTTACCACAATGTTCTTCTCGAGATTGTAGTAATAAATGTAAAAAGGAGCATGTGTTGCATATTTTGGGCATAACACAATTTCACCAGTATCAATCACTCCAGCAAAGTGCGTTGAATTTAACTCTTCTCGCCATTGAAGGGGCTTTTCATAGACATACTTTGACCATATACGTTTTTCATAACACGAAATCATTTTCGCTGCGATTATCAACTGCACCTAATTTACCTTTGTAGTTTATCAGAGTACTGGAAGGTCTTTCGGAAATAAAATCCAATCTCTCAGACGAAACATCAAAACAACCGATCATTGGCCCATTACCCCATGTTATGTAATACAAAACACCATTAATGCATATCTTCTCATTGGTTGGCTCATATGGACGTGTGTAACATTTGATCTTTCTCCATAAGCGATTTCTACTTCCATTCTCTAATGTGAGAACTTGATGCTCTACAGACAAATTCTCCGCTCCACGATACACCCATGATATACACAATACCTTAAACTGTTTTCCGATTGGATCATAACACAAATGGCTTCTTATTCCCTGAGTCACTATAGGTTTCACTTTGGGTAAGACTACATACTGTCCTGTGATGGGATTAGAAATCACAACTTCTATGCAATAATCTCCCGTACGACGTTGATAACAGAACAATCCTTGTACATGAGCACGAGGGATTTGAGAGAAACTTGAATTCGTATGATGACGAGTGGCTACAAGAGACGAGTTCACATCTGGATGTTGAAGCTGAGGTGAAGTGTAGAAGCAAAATTTACCTCCAACTTTAAAGGTAAAAAGTAACCTCAGTGGATCCAGAGACTTGACCGGGAACAACTGTTTGTAGTTTGGTCGGCAAATAAACGAAGACCAGAGCTTCGATACACAACGACACTGAGCGACAGAATTAGCCGACGATAGTTTCGACAAGATCTTGATGATGAGATCAACAGTGATCAGATCAAAGTATTGTATTCCTCCTCCATAGTTTGAAGCTCGTTTATTCACTGATCGAGATACGATTTGGTTTTCCTCCGTGACTTGTTGCTTACATTTTGTCATGGCGACCGATTTTGGTGAACTCTAAACCATAGTAAGCGGCTCTTTCGGGTAGGCATGTCAATTAAGGTCAAAGCCCGAAACCCGCCTCGGCTGAACTTTAAAAATATCGGGCTCGGGTTTAAATATATAAACCCAAAAAAATCGGGCTTTTCGGACTAAATCCATTCGGGCTATTGAGTTTTTGGACTTTAGTCCGGTTGGGTTCGGGCCGGCCTGGAAAGCCCAAAAATAAATATATACTTATAAATTTAGTAATAAACTTTGTTTAAAGATATTTTCAAAAGATAAATTGATTATATATATATATATTCCTTGGGCGAAAACTCTTATTCTACTAGAACTTTTGGTATTTTACTTATGTTTTATTTGACACTACTAATTATTTATAGTTATTTGAATTCATTTGACATTTGTATTCATTTTGTCACACTTTTGTTTTTAGTTAAATTAGATTTCGATAAAAAAACACATCGATAGTTGTTTAAATCTGAATTTATTTTGGTAAATAATATTTTTTAATTTATTTTATTTAAATATAAATACGTAGCCCTGTAAAACCCTGTTCGGGTTGGGCCGAGCTTTGAAAAATAGATCCGAATATTTTTCTGGTCAGGCCAGACCGGACTTATATATATGCGGATTTTACTGGTTTTGGGCCGGACCGGCCTAGCCCGTTTGACATGCCTACTTTCTACTTTCAGGTAAAATAAACCCTAGCTTATGATTTAAACACAATCAATAGATTGGGTTTTATTATGTCCAATAGAGACAATAGATTTTATTTTGAAATAACTATTTTTTTGAAGAAAAAAAAAACTCTACACTTCTTTTCACAATAAAGAAAAATACATCATTTCTTCTTTTTTTTTGGATTTAAGTTTTTATGGTT